GGGCCCAAAACCAGGGGGGGCCGCCGGACCCAAAAAAAAAAAAAAAAAAAAAAGGGGGATAATAATTACACCCACTTCCTAGAGTAATCATGGGGATTACATGAGGTAATATAGGTAAAGTGCTTAGTATAGTACTTGGCACATGAATGTTAGCTATATGATGATGATGATGACGATGATGATGGTGATGATAAATAATCACAATACTGGGCTATTTCTTCCTTGCTTGGAGAACTATTTTTAACCTTCAAGGTCCAGGTTGGATGTCCAATCCTCTGGGGAACCTTCCCTGACAGAGTCTGGTCATATATATCACTCCTAGAGCATGCAACAATATTAATAATTATTAATAATAAACTAGTTGCTTAGTTTATTGAATGCTTACTCTGTGCCCAGGTGCTGTTCTGAGCACTTTGTGTTTAGCTCATTTAATTCTTATGAGAGCCCAGAGAGGATACTATTATTAGCTCATTTAATTCCTATAAGGGCTGAGAGGAGGATACTATTATTCTTGCCATTTGACAGATGAGAAAACTAAAGCACAGGTAAGTTAAATAACTTCTAAGGTCATACAGAAAACAAAAGCTTGAAGGCAGGCTGACATACCAGAAAGGGAACACAAACACACACAAACACACACAAATACACACACACACACACACACACACACACAGACAGACAAAGCTTTCCCACGCATCCCTGTTGTACCTTTATCACTGTTCTGGGGGCTGGGGGAGGTATCCCCAGCCACAATGGGGAGACCAGTCTGTGGTGCCTCTGACTCCTCTCTACCTCCCAGGTTTCTGCACTGCCATAGGGCAGCCCCCTGAGGCCTCTTCACTCCCCCACCATGCTCCAGCGCCTCACCAGCCTCTTCTTCAGCTCCCCGGCGCCCCCCGAGGACCCCGACTGCCCTCGAGCCTTTGTCTCCGAGGAGGATGAAGTGGATGGCTGGCTCATTATTGACCTGGCGGGTGAGGCCTGAGTCTGCAACCAGGACTGACTCCTGGGCCTGTGAAGTCGTCATTAGGGCAAGTGGCCGAGCAGTTGAGCAGAGAGCTGCTAAGGGGTTGGGGAGTCCCCCCAGGCCTACTGGGCAAATTGGGGCTGAGGCAGTAATATTGGAGGTGGAGGGTAACAGGACCCCATCTCATGCAAGCTGGGGCCATCTCCTGGCGGTACAGTGTTGGAGTCCCACCTCACATGCCCTAGGGCAGCAGGTCGAGACTGTGTATGCCCATTGGGTATGGCGGGCAGGGCTGCGTGTCGGACTAACGATGCCCTTTCTCTCCCTGCCCCATTGTGTCTGGTGTGTGTCTGTGTGTGTGTGTGTGTGTGTGTGTGTGTGTGTGTGTGTGTGTGTGTGTCCCTCCCTGCTGCGCCCTCTCCTCCGCATGGCTCCCCCTCCCGCGCCACGTAGACAGCTTCACAGCTCCACCCAGCCCCGGGGCCGCCCCGGCCCCTGCGGGCCGCCCTCCGCCCGCACCCTCCTTGATGGATGAGAGCTGGTTTGTTACCCCTCCGGCCTGTTTTACTGCAGAAGGGCCTGGGCTCGGGCCCGCCCGCCTCCAGAGCAGCCCCCTGGAGGACCTCCTCATCGAGCACCCCAGCATGTCCGTTTACGTGACCGGCAGCACCATAGTGCTGGAGCCTGGACCTCCTTCCCCGCACCCTGACGCCGCCCTGCCAGACGGAGACCTTAGCGACGGGTGAGCCAGCCGGGGGCGGAGCCTGGAGGCCCAGTGCCGGGGCGGGGCCTTTAGAGGCGGGTCTTCGAAGCAAAGGGCGGGGCCCATGGGCCGGAATGAAGCTAGACCTGAAGGTAAAGGGGCGGGGCTTTGAGATAGGGAGAGGCGTGGCTTCGTGGCTAGGGCGGGGCTTGAGAGAGAGAGCTTCGCGGCTTGGGATCGCTGAGGATCGCTGAGACGGTAGGCATCTCCAGGTTGGGTTGGAGGAAGGGCTGGTACCCACAAGAAGGGCTGGTACCCACAAGAAGGGCTGGTACCCACAAGAAGGGCATTGAGCGACCCTAGGAGCAGAGATCAAATCGTGCGAGGGTGCGGGGACAGGGTGGGAAGTGCCAGCGCTCTCCTCCGTCCCCCACGAATTGTCTAGCCCTGACTGCCTCGCTCTGTCCCCTCAGGGAGTTGGCGCCTGCTCGCCGTGAACCCCGGGCCCTGCACCACGCCGCCCCTCTGCCGGCGCGGGCCACACTGCTGGAGAAGGCGGGCCAGGCGCAGCGGCTGCAGCGGGCCCGGCAGCGGGCCGAGCGCCATGCTCTGAGCGCCAAGGTGGTGCAACGGCAGAACCGCGCCCGCGAGAGCCGTCCGCGCCGGCCCAAGCACCAGGGCAGCTTTGTCTACCAGCCGTGCCAGCGCCAGTTCAACTACTGAGCTTCCGCCGGCCGTGCCGCAAACCCCTCGCTGACTCCCGACCCTTATCCAGCCCCTCCGCCGCAGCCAGTGTGCTCCTTGAGGGGCGCCTGCAGCCCACTTCGGGCTGGACACCACAACCTCCCTTCTTCTTAAGTGTGTGAGGTGGGGGT